TCTGTTGATATTTATCCATTTCCTGCAATAAGTATAATAAAAGAAAAAATACATTCCAGGAATTCTGAGATAGTTTAGTGTAAGTGAAATAACTCATAATGAAACTGAAAATTAAATGTCAGTCAGTGTTGACCTGTACTTCCCACAGTTTCCAAAAAACGGCATGAAAGGACTCACTGCAGCAGACAATCTTCTTAAAGATAAAATGTGAAAGTACAAATTATTTGATTAGAATTCAGCTGGCCAGCACAATCTCTGATGTATCATAGGGTTGGGAAATTTTTGTAATATGAAGATAATTTGGTATCAGCCTTGCAGTAGCTTTTCCCAGCTGGTTTGCCTGACCGAGTTTGAAACCTGACCTGGGCTAATGCTTCCCTCCCCCAGGAATGACAGCGTGCAGTCCTGCTGTTCTCGATCCTTTCAGCTCCTGTTTCCAGGTGCTTTCCTGTTCTCTGGCAGTGTGCAATGCTCTACACCATTTGCCAGCTACACCATCTTCCACTCAGTCTCTATCTGATCTTCTGCAGCGCCTCACCCATGACAAACAGCAATCCTTTCTCTCCTCAGGGGAAATCATGCCTTGGAACTTGGCCGAATCCCTCTAACAAGAAGTATACGAAATGCTTCTTTGAAATCATCCCCGTTACTGGAAACCAGCTCGCTTTTTCAGCGCGGTTGCCAGCCTGACTCAGGCGGCTCCTGCGAATGCCCGATGTGTGGGAGCCCGCCGGCAGCGGCAGAGGGAGCTCGGCTCTGCTCTGCTCTGCGCCGGGACTGGTGAGCGCTGTGCACCCCCGTGCGGCACCGGCAGCGGCAGCGGGCCGTGCAGGGATCCCCGCCGGCATCCCGCCCCTGGGTGCTGCCCGGATCCCCGCCGGCATCCCGCCCCTGGGTGCTGCCCGGATCCCCGCCGGCATCCCGGCCCTGGGCGCTGCCCGGATCCCCGCCGGGATCCCGGCCCTGGATGCTGCCCGGATCCCCGCCTGGATCCCGCCTTTGGGTGCTGCCCGGATGCCCGCCGGGATCCCGGCCCTGGGTGCTGCCCGGATCCCCGCCGGCATCCCGGCCCTGGGCGCTGCCCGGATCCCCGCCGGGATCCCGGCCCTGGATGCTGCCCGGATCCCCGCCTGGATCCCGCCTTTGGGTGCTGCCCGGATGCCCGCCGGGATCCCGGCCCTGGGTGCTGCCCGGATCCCCGCCGGGATCCCGCCGCTGGGCGCTGCCCGGATCCCCGCCGGGATCCCGCCGCTGGGTGCCGCCCGCTCCGCCGGAGCCGCCACGGGCATGCAGAGAGGCCTCCGGCTGCAGGGCGCTACGGCAGGCAGAGAATAACTGCGCTGTGACCTTACAGGCCTTCAAGATAAGGGCAGTCAAGTCCTGACCCTTGCTAAGTCCCCAAGAGTAGGCTAAGGAAGGATGATCAATATTTTAGGGGATGTAAAAGACACTTCACTCCTGTCGCCCCCAAAAAGCATTGTGTGTTATTAACTGATGTTTTTCACTTGCACACAGCCACATAATTTATACAGAAGTAACAGAAGTGCCTTACATATTTTGATTTTAACAGAATATAACAACCTCCCCCCCCCCCCCCCCCCCCCCCCCCCCATGTTGTCCTAATGGGCCAGGAACTTTTTTCAGAATACTACAGATGTTCTGTGTTATTTCCTATTTTTTAAACTGCTTAATATATTGCTCTGATAATGGAATGCTTATCTGAGACTTACAATTCTATCATGGAAAATGAGTATGCTAGAAACATAGAGTCCAGTGGGATGAGTGGTATGAGTGGTACACAAACAGTGCCTGTGTGCAAAAGAGGAACAGTTACAGAATTCATATCAAAGCTCTTAATTTACTCAAGCAAAGCTCTTCAGTTTGTTATAAATACCTTTGGAGTATCAAAGTAAATACACCTAGGTGTTCAATATCTCTGTGGACACATTACTCAGAAGCATCTCCATGCTGAATAAGAAAGTAGACTGTCATTAAGTCAGAATTTGACATTTCTTATTGTTTTCCAGATTTTGTTGTTATGAAAAATTCCTTTCTAAACTTCCTACATTGCTCTGAAAATGAAACAACATGGTAATTGAAGAGTTAAAAAGCTAAAGTGGGTTTTGATTATTCATTTGGTTACTGCATGTATCAATTAAGGTAGGATAACCTAAAAGCACATAGCTAATTGTAATACTTACAGATGCCAAAGACTGCTCTATCAGTGCCTGTTCATTTTGATTCTCATAAAATATGAGTGGAGTCTTCTCACACAGCTTATCTTCCAGTATTGTAGCAGAGCAGACTAAAAGGCAGCCTCCTTTTCCCTAAAACTGACATCTCAGTAGACTGATGGTGCACAATGAACGACCACTCTACAGTGCTTTTGGCTTCTACAGGTAGGAGTAGTTATGAAATATAATAATGGGCTGTGAAGGGCTCTTTTGAAAAATGGGAACCCTAATGGATAAAATTTATAGCTTACTTTCAAAAATAAATCTGAGAGGTCTTTCCCCAAAACTTCAATAGCAATTGCTATTGTACTTTGTTGTTGCATATTTCAAGCTGCTACATAAATACTAACAAACTATTGCTATAGCACCTCATAACACTGTGTTTGGTGTCTTTCAAACTTTCATATTATAAGCTAGAAATGCAGAAGGGAAAAAGATGAAAGTCAGAATCTGTCTCTGTGGGTCTGTGTGAGCCAAAGGGCTGCTGCTCAGCCAAAAGAAGGTACAGGCCTGAAGCAGGATGTTCAGAGCTGGGATTAAAGGCAACACTTTCTCTTCTGTGGCAAAATCTGGGGCTAAGGACAGGCTCAAGGAACCTAATCCCTGACTAAGCACATGAGAGGCCCTGGTAGCCCCAGCTGGAACAGCAAAGTGCCCTGCAGCAAGCTGAGCCCTTCCAGCTCTTATCAGGAAGACACCTATATGTGACCATCCTGCTTTATGAGATCCAGTTTTAGTTTATTATACAAACTGACTGCCAAATAGTCTCTGCACTAAATCTAATTATGAAGGAAATCTGAGCTGGTATCAGACATCTCATGTTTCTGTTCTTCTGCACTTACCTTTTGCTCTCTCTGCATCACAACACAGTGAACAAGAATTCAGTTAATTGGTTTAATGTATTCACTCCCTCCCTCACAACTCACACATTTCAAACTTCACCATGGAGTACTCTACAAGGAGAAAACAGAGTTGGGATAGAAGTGAAGAGGAAAAAACACTAATAGAAGGAAAAACACTAATAGATGGAAAAACCACCAATATGTGATCTCCTCTTATTAGAACAGATTATTTAACTATATATTATTTTTTAATTTTATGCAGAGCCAAGAGTGCATCATGTTGTTTCTCTGGATTATGCAGATTCTGAGTTTTAAATGGGTAAAATACCCCCCATGACAGCTGGCAGTAAAAAAAAATAAATGAGACAACAATAATACATTTCATCATATCTCAATCACTGTACAAATTTTTTCTTTAAGAAAAGGTACCCATTAGGCTCCTTTATAGAAAAAAATAAAATTGAGAAAAGGGCTGCAATACAAGCCTAAAATACTATCTGGCTTAATATCAAATCTGGACTCTAGAATGGCTGAATGGGGCTGTTGCTGTGTAACAAAATATGCTGGTTTTAAAGTGAAAGAGGGCAGGTTTAGATTAGATATAAGGAAGCAATCCTTCACTATGAAGTTCCAGTGAGGCACTGGAACAGGTTGCCCAGAGAAGCTGTGGAAGTGCTCAAGGCCAGGCTGGATGTGGCTTTGTGCAACCTGGTCTAGTGGAAGGTGTCTCTGCCCCCAGCAAGGGGGTTGGAACTAGATGCTCTTTAAAGGTCCCTTCCAATTCAAGCAATTCTGTGAGCCTATGATTCTACTGCACCTGCAAAAGTTGACAACAGCACACACCTAAAACTTAAAATAATTGGATGAGCATCAGGTTGCACTTTTGAAAGGGGCTGTAACAGTATGAAATGACAAATCACACCCATCATTTTCTTGTGTCATGCCTTGGAGAAACCACATGTCCCTTCAATGAGAAAATACAGAGTAAAAGTAATAGGACCTTGCTGTCCGTTGTGTCCTGATAACGTGTTTAATGATGTACCTTAAATTTCAACACGGTGCCAAACTGTTCACACATCTCCGTTTCCCACTTTACATAAACAGGGAAGTCAGACATGGCAGCAGTCCTCTCCCTGCATCAGTATTTATTTACGTTTCCGGAAGAGCTCTTTTTTGAGTAGCTCGGAAGCCTAAAAGTGGATACAGTTTATACACCGAGATGAGTAGTTTGTTTGCCGAAGTCGCCTGGCAAAGTGTGACTTAAGGCTGCGCATCGTGCCCTGCTGCCCGGAGGGGCTGCTCTGAGGCATCGTGTTCCTTCCTTCCTTCCTTCCTTCCCTCCCCGGCTCCGTCCCGTTACCGGCCTCGCCCCGCGTTGGGCAGCGCGGGGCAGGGGGAGCCCGGGGCGGTGATGAATGGAGAGCCCGCCTCGGCTCCCGGCGGGCCGGGGTCTGTCCCGGGGGCGGATTTACCAGTAGCTCGGTGATGGCAAATCTTCCCCTTGTCCTGGCGGGGGAGCCAAAAGCCTTCGATCTGTAGCCGGGAAGGTTGGTGGCTTTTTTTTTTTTTTTTTTTTTTTTTTCGGCTGTTGTTGCTGCTGGGTTTATTGTTGGGGAAGTGGGAGGCTCATTTGCGAGCTGGTTGCCCAGCCGCAGGCCACGGCTCTAGCCCGACATCCCTCCAAATGCACTCTCGCTAAAGACCGGCTATTTTTTGGGGGATCGCCCTCGGCACGCCGCACACGCACCCTTTCCCCCCTCTACATTCACACCAATGGTGAGCGGCGGCCCTCTCCCCTATCCTCCTTTTCCCGTGAGATGCTTTTCCACGCCACGCGGGGCGGGTATTCGCCGGCGCCACCTGAGGCCCTTCGTCCCGAGCTGCTCCCCACGCACCCTGTCTGTCTGTCTGTCTCCCCGTGCAGAGCTCCGGCAACGCGTCCTACCGATGCTCCATGTCGTCCTCCGCCGATTTCTCCGACGAGGAGGACTTCAGCCAGAGGTCGGGGACGGTGTCGCCGGCGCCGGGGGACACGCTGCCCTGGAACCTGCCCAAACACGAGCGGTCCAAGCGGAAGATCCAGGGCGGCTCGGTGCTGGACCCCGCCGAGCGGGCCGTGCTGCGCATCGCCGGTAAGGCGCGGCCGGGGGCGGCGGGGCAGGGGGCGGCCGGGGGCAGAGGGACCCCCGTCCCTTCTCTTTCCGAGCGCGGCCCCGCCGGGCGGTGACTAAGCTCTTTGGCCGCCTTTTCCGGCTGGGTGAACTGATGCGTGTGGAAGGCGAGCCGAAACACGCGCAGGTGCGCCCATTAAACTTTCATGCGAAAAAGCATCAGCGGCGGGGGCTGCAGCCGCGGCGGGGGCGGCTCAGCGGGGCCGGCGCTTTTTTCGGCCCACAAGGCCGAGGCAGCCCCCGGCCGCCCTGGCTGGAAGCGCCGCGGGACCGCCCGCAGCGCGGGGAGAAGCCGCGGCGGCCGATGATGCTCCGTGAGGGGCGGGGGAGCAGCGCCGGGCTTTGTCCGCTCGGGGTGGACGGGGACCGGAGCGGAGCCGCCCCGGTGTGCCGGAGGCGCCAAAGGGCTCTGGTCCGCGGCCCAGCGACAATTGATGTCGAAAATAGGGCGGAGGTCCGCATCACCCTGGCGAAAGCTGGAAAACGCCTGTAAATGAATCCCAGAAAGATGAGGCGGTCGGTCCCCAGTGCTCCCCGGGGACACCGCTGTTGTTCTCCCCAACCACCCCGATTGTATGCGCGTCTCCATGTGTCCCTCCCGGGACACCATTTCCCAGGGTAACCATTCCTAGCTGCGCTATTAGCGGGGGCAGCGCTGCGGAGCCGGGCTCCCACCAGCCGCAGGATGCAGCCGCGATTGGGGCGTTGCGGAGCCGGCCCGACCGCCCGCGGATCCCTGCGGGCAGGGTGCGCAGGACGGGGCAGCGGCGGGCCGGGGCAGGGCAGCAGGGAGCGCAGGGCAGCAGGGAGCGCAGCGGAGCGGGGTCAGCGCCGGGGGACAGCGGGGGGACGCAGGCGCGGCGGTGACACCTGCGGCAGGGCCGCGCCCGCCCCGCCGGGACTGCGGGAGCTCCCGGCCCCGCCGGCTGCCGGCCTGGGGTCCCTCCCCGCTCGGTCCCTGCCCGAGAGTGCAGTGTCCCCACCGGCGCCGTCAGCGCTGCGGGCGTCGCGTCCCCGCCCCGGCAGCCGCCACCCTCCTCGTCTCGGGGGAGGCGGCGGTGGAGCCGCCGGCCCCGCGGGCGGTGCCTCGGCCATGGGGCTGGAGCCGGGGCTGCGGCGGGAGGCCGGGCTGGTGCCGCCCCTCCGCGCTCCGAGGGGCGGCTGCCGAAACCCGAGCGAGCGAGCGGCCGCCCGCGGGGGCGTTCCCTCGGCCGGGCTGGCAGCGCCGCCCCCCGCCCGCCCCCGCCCGCCGCTGCCGGGGCTTTTCTTGTGCCATCCCCGAGGCTGTCGGCCGCCCCGAGCCGCACCGGCGGGCAGGGCTGGGTTGGGCGAGCTGCTGGCCATGGCTGGCTACCTCTCCCCCGGCGCCTATTTCTACGCCGAGGAGCAGGAGTACCTGCAGGCCTACGAAGATGTCCTAGAGAGATACAAAGGTAGGGCAGCGCTCCCCGGCCGGCCGCTCTCCTGCCACGCCGGGTGTGGCGACTGCGGAGCCGGCAGGCGCTGGGGCCAGCTGGGGGACATGGGTGGCCCCGCGTCCCTGCGAGGGTCGGGCTGGGGACAAGGGACGTGGGCGGCGTGTGCGATGGATATAAATACCGTGTCACCTCACCAGTGTGTGACAGGCGCTCTCGCGTGTTTAAAAGTCGCTTTTTTGAGTGCGGTACGGACACAGGGATTTATGTCTCGATGTACATTCATATTTAAAGCTTCGGTTTATTTTTACCTATTTGTTTATTTATTTGGGTTTTTTTGGGCCAGGGCAAGGAATTAGCTTAGTTCGTGTAGCACCTGAGTTTTTTTTATCGAGTACAGAAAAATAAGGAAAAAGGCATTTATCAGGGTGAACATGTATGCAGCTAAATTAATCCTGCTAGAAATGTAAATTGCATTGATTTCTTAGGGGTATCGGGATAGAAGGGATGGTTTGGATGATTCACTGCTGTTTTTCAGTACATTTGCTGGTACTAAATCTGAAGCTTATCAAAAGTGTTACAGCTCTGATTTTAATCCAAGTGCGAAATGGATGGAGTTAACTGTTCACACTGAACCTTCATCCCCGAAACAGTTTTTCCAGCATGTCACAGCATATGCTGACATTTGCAGTGCTGAGTCCTTTTGTAACGTTAGGGAATAAGATGTTATGTTTCATATCTGAAGTTTTTCAGCTGCATTTCTTCAATCAGTCCTGAAGATTTTTGCTAAATGGTTTCCACTGATGGGAATGGGAGTGGCACAGTTTAAGACAGCTTGATTTGAAGATATTGATAATTGATTTTATTTATTTTGTGTTGTTAGTAGCAGTATTTTGAATAATAAACCCTCAACAGATGGTTATTTTGACTATGAGAACTTGTTGGGTCTGTGTGTACTTTATACTGGTGTCACTTGCAATTTCATGTGTCATTAGCAGTATTGACTAATGACTCCTTTGTGTCTGTTGCCCATTGTGTCAATGCAGCAATGGAGCATGTGCACCGTTTCTGTTCTCAAATGCATTAGTGCATTTTGGTTGAGAAATAATTACCATTTGGTGATTGCCATCATCTTCAAAACCATGTCTTTATTCCATTCTCTAATTTTTCTTAAGTCCTATAAGTCCTTATATGAAGCTGATCTGATTTGTGCAAAATTTTGGAGCTAGTAGGCTGTTTACTTTTTAAATAAGCACTGAGAAAGCTTGTTTTTCTGCTTTGGATCACCTTTTATTTCCTGCTAGAATTAGGTTTAATAAGGTTTCTTCTCATACCAATTACTTGCTTAGAAAGCAAGGGAAATCTCTTTCTCTCTGGGAAAGAGATTAGGCCCAATTTCCCCGATTTCAATGAGTGTTTTATCAGGAATGGGACTGAAAGGTCTGGTTTTAATAGGTTGGGGAACAATAGGATTTTAATTAAATAAACTCTGAAAGCTAATTTACATCTCTGTAAGAAATAAACCACTTTCTGAAAGTATTTGAGTATATCTTATTGTGGGGGTAACACAAAGTCCATTCATACGTCATTTTCAGTGACCCCTGAATCCTGAAATTATTTGGAAGGATCCAATTTCTGTTGTCTTAGTTTTAAGTGTCATATTTTGTATATTGGTATGCTATGTTTTGCTGCTCAAGGTAGATTTTATTCAGCCATTTGGAGCAAAGGTAAAGGTTTGGACTTGTTTTAATTAAGATGTATTGGAAATCTGGAAAGCACATTACTTTCTAAAATGTGTTTTCAAGTCAGTCATGATTTCCCATTCGAGTCCCAGTAGTATGACTTCACTACAGCGATTGTTGTTCTGATGACTTGCTATGGGAGCTGATCTAATCAGAAAAGAATTGCTACAATATAGGCTTTGAAGAGGGAGTGCCATTTCTCTGAATTTCTCAGTTTTGTAAACGCCTCCTTCAGTACATTTCTTAATCAAATGTGAACTATGTTGGCTTTGTAAGATGAGCTTCAATCTATAATTTTAATGCTGATAGTTCTGATAGTTCTTTTTTTTTTTTTTTTTTTTTCCTTTTTACAGTCTGCAGAATGCTTCATACTCATCTAGGCCATTATCAGGGTGCCAAATTATCTATGTCCCAGCTGTTGAGTACTGTAACTAGCAGAGTCAGCTGTACAAAATTCATTGCCTGTCTTGGAAGGCTTGGGATCGTATGATGCCGCATCATTAAGATGTTCAGGCAGTTTGACTTAGGAAGATAAAAGCTGCCCTTTGTAAACATAGAAAAGTGAAATTTTACCCTTCCTCTGTTTCTGTTTCCAAAGTAGACTGCAGATTTTGAAGATCATGCAATACTGAGCACCTTGTTGTTTTAGAAAATGAAAGCCAGATATTTGTGTGTCTCCAAATTCTGTCTGCTGATCATGTCTCTGGCTGTGACAGTAAATAATTAGGCAACTGTTTGCTAAATCTGACATACCACTGAAGTGCTGTTTGCTATGGGAGAAGAGAGTGTTGTTTTCTGATCCCTGGTCAGCTCAGTTGCTGGCTGTCAATTTGTTTTTTTTTTTTCCTTGATTAGTAATTATTTGGCAGTATTTCTAAAGCATTTTGATGGAGGGAAAAAAGTCACATTATCTCAGATGTTGTAGAAATCAGGTTGAATCCAGCTATTTATTCAGGGGAAAAAATTGCTTCTTTGTTGGTAGCACCTCTAAGAATTCAAAGGCAACCAGAGAGTGGCAAAAAACCATCTAGTATAGTTTATCTGAAGTATTTTAGGTATTTCACAGCTTGTTTAAGTAATAAGAGAAATCATACAAATATTTGTTAATATAATTAAGATTCAGCATTTTCTCAAAAATTATATTTGAATTCTCTGGGAGGTTATAAAGAACTTCAAAAATTATTCTTGGTGCTCTGTAAGTTACCTCACAGTTGCCTGGGAACAAAATGTAATGAAATTTTTAGCTGTAGCCTTTTTGATAAAGAAGAAAGTGTGCAATTGTATTTAATATACTTTTAATTTTTAAAGCATTAAATGCCATCTCTGTCATATGGCATAGAAATGCATTGTTTGGTGCCATTATTATTTGAGCATTAAAAATTTGAAGATTATGATTTTAGCTGTGAGTGCAAGATGTTCATTACATTTCCTCTGCTATAAATCTGAAGTAATAAACTGAGAATCAAGTTTGTATATATAAATTTATCATCCCTCTGAAATGGTCACTCTTTAATGTGTTTTTCAGTTCAGGTAGTAAACTTTTATTTGAATAGCAGTTGCAACAAGCCTTTCCTGAAAGATTTTCCACAATTATGTAACTAGGTTGTCTCCATTTTGACATCATTTTTGCTAGGGTACATCTGTTAATGACAATGTGACTGCGGTATCTGGAAAAGAGCTAATTCATGGAGTAAAGTGTTGAATAAATCATAGTTATCCAACAACATTCTTTAACTATGTAAGCCCTTGAAGTTTGAAATATAGGGTTATCTGGGCTGTGCAGAGCTTTTAATGCTGCAGATTT